ACACACACACACACACACACACACACACACACACACACACACACATAAACTCACTACATGCAGACTCATGTCACAGTTGCTATGGATTTGTAAGAGCCATCCTAGCATATTCACAATTCAGACATAAAAAAACATCTAGTGATCTTTATGGACATGTGCACCGAGGAGCGCCAAAATGGCGCCAAAATGGTTGTGGTAGAGTATTAGAATAATAAAAAAATAAAACAAAGTTTCACTACTGACTCATTCTTATATTTAAAGGTGTGTTTATCTGCAGTGTCAGAGTCCATGTGCTCAGTGGGTGTGTTTTATCAATTTTTACAAGTCTAATCAGGTTTGTTTGTCTTGTTGAGGAGTAAATGGCAAAACTAGGTACAATCACAACAATAAATCAAGTAAAAGACTTCAAAAAGTGATCAAAGTGTCTGATAGTATAATAAGGCCCAGGTTGCAAATAAATGAATTTAGTGCTGTCAATGGTTTTACTTTTATTTTTGGAAGGAGTAAAAGCAACCTTAGTTTTTAAGGTTAAAGATAAAGATTGACATTACACTTAAAAGGAAGAGGCCACCACATCTGAACAAAGTGTAAAAAGTGCTCACGTCAGTCTCTAGCAGGTTGTACATGCTGGTTTCAGCCACTTCCTTTGACTCATGAAACTTCTCCAGAGCCTGTCGAAGTTCCTCATCTGGGATCTTGCCCTGTCGCTTCTTCTTGTAGTCGTAATCAAGTCGGCGGCCTTCAAGCTTTTTCAGATGGTGCTGAAAAAGTTACAGAGACACTTCAGCCACTTTATTCATGACTTGCTTTAAATTTTGTTCGCTTTATCAAGCAAATAAATGCACATTACACTTGGTAAAACCTGAACATGTAAAGTATTTATTTAATGAACAAAAGCGTGCGTGTCACATACTTGTATTTCTCTGAGTTCCTTGTCATACAGCCCTTGCAGTGGATCAATAAAGTTCTGTTTTACATCGATGTCGAGAGAGTCTTTTACTTCTGCTAATCTCTTCATGGCCTCTCCAACGTCCACTAGCGCTGTGCCTAAACCACACAGACAAATTTGTAGCACCATAAAATACAATTAGTTCACAATTCAACGGACAAATTGAACCAAGCAAAGAGCCTAAAGAGCCACCTAAAACAGACAGAAAAAGTTTTATAGATATTAAGTAAACAGATTGGCAGCAGTTTATCAATGAGCATTTTGATTAAACCAGACGTGTACACACCAGCACCACACCTCAGCACACTACCAAGCAGGTCATTGCTTTACTGTACTGAGCTAGACAACAAAAAACACACATATATTACCAAAGTTAGTGTCTTCTCCGAGTTCCCGCCCGTACTTAGCCATGCACTCTCCCAGCAGCCCCTCGGCTTGAGGATATCCTGGGTTCTTTACCTGCCCACGGATCTTGGACATGGTGTTTAACATGGACAGTTTGGCCCGGGAGGCTGCAAATGTGGAAAAAAAATAAACAAATAATAATAATTAAAAAAAAAAAATATATATATATATATATATATATATATATATATATATATATATATATATATATATATATATATAGAGAGAGAGAGAGAGAGAGAGAGAGAGAGAGATAAAAAAGGTACAAATGATGTGGAAACAATGATGCTAAAAGGTTAAACTCTGACCTGGGTTGGGTTGGAGGTACTCTGAGGTCTTGGAGATCACATCTACTACAGCTTTACTGGTTACATCAACTTTCTACAAAAGCACAAGTTTACAACAGAGACACCAGTGAGAGGACTAACATCAATACAAACAGGGAAAACAGATTTGCTCTAAAGTTTCTGCTATAATAACATCGAAATGGATTAGAGTGTATTTAGGGATATAGCTCACCAAAGTGGTCTAAATAGTTCACAGCAATTTAAATTTTTTTAATCTAAGTAAACGTTTTGTCTACAGCATGTCTGATAACTGGAAAAAGATGGTCAACTGTTTGAAAATGTTCACTTTGTGATGTCTTAAACTTGTTATTTTGTCTGCCAAATGGTTCAAACCTCAAAGATACCAGCAGCACATTAAATATTTACATTTCAGAGGTAGCAGCCTGTGCAGTCGGACATTTTAGTTTGAAATTTTTAACAGTACTTGTAGGTTTTCATTGCAGTCATCATAGGACTTTGAATTAACTTCTTAAGCTTGCATTAGTTTTGAAACAAAAACAAAAACAGCACAGAATAAATTAAAGGGTTAAACTACAACTATTGTGTTAAATATCCCAAATATTCATTAAAAAATATAAACAGGAGCAGTGTTTCCTCTAGTTAGCTTGCCATGGCGGGGTGCTCATCTCATCCATGATTTTTGCTGATGGGGGGACAGAGACATGTGTGAGTGCAGCTTGTACTAACAGTTTTTGAGCGGGGGACATTCAACATGAGGGAAGAGGCAATGTGAGTGCTAGCTTTGGCTTTTTAGCTAGAGAGCCTGTATTTTGCATCGCTAGCTTAGTGCTATGTCAATGCCGGGTGGGGGTGGGAGGGGTAAGTTCAGTTTGGTAGGCGGGGTGCTCAGTTCTGTTGATGGGGTGGGGCACCCCACCTGTATAATGGCAGGGGAAACACTGAGGAGTTTCATAAGACTTTGATTCACACACTCTGTCTATCTTACCCGTTCCAAGTCTCTGAAGTCATCATCTAGTTTGGTTCCTTCTGCTCCACCGACTTTCTCACTTACCATCTACAACAGGGAGACAATGGGAAGGAAAAACATGACTTTCATCTTAGTTAAACAAAATGAAGCGCTGTCTATTTCTGATTGGTTTTGCTTTTTAAAAAGTTATAATCACTTTTTTTTTTTAAGATTCTGACTTAGGATATTTATGTTGACTGCTAGTATATACAACTCCATGTTCAGTTTCCTTGTGCTGATCACAGAATAAATAATAAATTGTATAATTGAATAAATTGTGCTGATTTGTTGCAAATGTTTTCAGACCTTTATATAAAAATGAAAACCAACCACAATGGCTACACTCGGTGTTTGAAATTAAGCTTTAATTAAAGGCCAACATACTTTTTAACAATAAAAATCTAAAAGCAGGATGCATCTAAACTGTGTTGCTGTTGTTAAAATGTTAACAACTCTAGTGTTAAAAATAAACTATCTTGCTCCACAGGAGTAAGGGAGAGGAAAAATTCAACCCATCAAAGAACTAAATGAGACAAAGCAAACCACAAGAACAGGATAAAATTGAAGGCCACGCATTCACCCAGTCTTTTAGAGACAAAGTAATTGTATGGAGTTTTGTTTGTATAATGTGTGGTAAAGCATTTACCAAAATAATTTTACACAACCTTAGTCTTTTTGGACTACCTGACAACTGTCACACAGTTTTTCAGATTGTGACCAATGCTACATCAAATCTAGAGGTTGAGACATAATGTCTCTCTACAATTTCCTGCAAAGCCATTCCTGGTGATAGTCAAGTAGAAACTAGAATAATCCACATCAGTCTTGAAATTGTTTTATTATATACACAGTAGTTTACTCATCTATACATGGCTTAATGTATTCTAATGACCAGTAAATTACTAAGTAGTAGCTGACAAACTTTAAACTGAACTGATTTTGGCAATAGTGCTGTATTTTCTGCTCAGAGCCGACTGACCATGACGACAGGCCTTGGGTGATTCAGGTCATAAGTAAAGATGCAGAAGAAATGTGTAAATTACTCCACATTTAGTTTTCCTTCTGTGAGGAGATCCAAGAGTGCAGTTAGTACTGGACTTTATGGTCTTTTTTTCATTTATGTTCCCTACTCTATGGAAAAGCGAATAAATTTAGTATTGTTGCTGCAGAATCACAAAAGATGGAAAATGTTTTTTGCCCTTGTCTGTGTGTGTGTGTGTTCTTGTGTTTGTTACCAAAATATTTCATGAAACACCAGACCAATCTTATTGAAACTTGCAGAAATTATTGGACATTCTGATAGCTATCGGACAGTAAAAACGCAAAAAACTGTTAAGTCAGTCAATTCAACAGATATTGACCTAAAACCTGGAATGGGAGTAGCTAAGAGTCAGTCACAACACATACGCTGTGTGACATCTTATGACATTGCACATACTGTACATGCCTATAACATTATTTTTAAGGTTAATGCTGTCATTTCTCAACATAAGATGATCATAGTTTAAGAGTCTGACAAGAAAGGCAGCATCAATCAAAGATTAGGCTTGCTACACTTTAAGTCTTAGAAGGACTGATCTGTTGGCCATTAAACAAAATTGTGTAGGGTCATTATATACATGCACACAATCGTCATAAACCCGAGTACAAAAACATCCACAAAAGGTAAGTTTTGGTATAAACAACACAAAGTACCGGAAAGAGGAATACATCTGCCAAAAGCATGTTTTTATCCTCATCATTGCGTATTAAGCACATTATCTCAGAGTCTAAATCAAGCTGCTTTTGTAGCCTTTGTTGTCTGAGGCCAAAGCTGCTTTACAAAAGTAGCAACATCAATTACTACAGAAAACCAAATCATTTATTGTGGCTTATAAGACCCACATAAACAAATACACAGCAGCTACATCGCACACCTCAACTATCAATGAGATTTTGTTCTATGGAAGGAGGAGTTTGAAGAGATGAACTAAAACTGGAACAGGAAAACCAGTTAGCATGTGATGTAAAATTTCTGGTATGAGGAGACAAAGTGACACTGTAGCTTGAAATTGAAAAAAAAAAAATCAAGCTGAGACCAAAGCTAAATAAATTCACAATACACATTAAGAAGATGTTGCACAACTGACCAGATGTCAAAAAGCCAATGAGAGCAGACTAGGGCTGTACAATCTATTTTCAAGGTACTGTAATAAACTGCTGCTCAGACTGCAATAATCAGACTATTATATTTCAAGTACTATACATTCATGCTCTGCAAATGGTCTACAACTGTATGGACTATTGTATTGGGCTACCGCTGGCCTTGATGTCCACAACTGGTTTAGATACCCACCATTGCACCCTTCACTGGTTAACTGGTCATCAATAACTTCACGCAGACTCTCTCAATGGTACATTTTCATCTTAAAATCACTTCTTGGTCTGCTGCCTTCATACATCTCCTCCTACATGTCACATCGTGAGTGCAGCTACAGTGTGCGCTCTCAGGACATCATTACCTGCAGTGTTCCCTCAGTGTGGATTGAATTAGGCAAAAGGACCTTCTCCTACTCCACTCCTGTTTCCTGGAATATCTTGCACAAAGATCTGAAGCTCTCGACCTTGACCTCTCTAAGTGGCTTCAAACATCTGCTAAGTTCGTGGCAAAACCCATAGCAGACATGTTCCTGTTATTAGTTTTCTACATCGCTTTACAATCTAGCTGTTTTTGTTTAGTTTTTAATACAATTTTCTTTCACTTGTTCCTTTCAATTTGTATGCTCTCTTTTATGATTATCTACCGTTGTCTTTGTTGTCTACTGTTGTCATCATTCTCTGTTGAAATCAGGTCTCTTGTAAATGAGTCCCAGAGGCTCAGTGGGATTAACCTGTATAAATAAAGGTTGAATGACTTGCCAACTAACTCCTGCATACCGTCTCATCACCATCTGTTATCCAGCCAGTGATCATGGTGTCAACTGCATGATGTTCATGCGTGTGGCTAAAGATGTCTCAAATCTTGATTTCTCGTTCTAAAGTCTAGTATTTCTCTCTCACAGGCAGTGGGTTCAGTATATGGGGGAACAATCGGTTTAATCGACAATGAGGATTCTGACACAAGTATCCTTGCTTTCCAGGTGTGGGAGATAACTACATGTGCCATACTAAACTAAATGCTTCCTCCTTTGGATAAAAACAGAAAACTTGGAAACTTATTTGGCCGTCATGCATCTCATCACAAATGATCACACCCAGCTTCGCCCTAAACATGCAAACTTTAGATAAAGATGATTACAGTAAGAAACTAAATTGTGGGCAGCTCAGCTTCAAAAACTGCAGCTTTTAATAAAGGTTTTTGAATTTTAGATACTGAAATGCACAAAATTCTGTATGTTATGATTGCCCAATAAGGTAATTTATACTAAACTTTGATTAAAAATAGAGGTCATTTAGACACTTCATTCAAACAACCCAAATTTCCCATATGCAACACATTTTTGGAGGCTTGATAAACACAAGCATGGGGTCAAATTGGTCATCTTAAACATTTAACTTTTCCTTTTAAGTTAATGAGCTTGTTAAGATGTGCACGTTTTGGCAAATAATTATTATAATAACTATTATAACTAATGCGATGTTTTAATTGGCCTGCATGTCGTGCTGCTTGAGGACATGAAATTCATATCAGGTTTAGACTAACGTCGAATGATGACTGGCTAAACCTGACAAAAGAAAGATTTATTTCAAAATTAAAAACTGACTACAATGATTTCTAACATGACTCACAAAAGTATACCACACTTTTATGAAAGGATGGATAGCATCATATTAATGTTAACAGTGTGACTGGAAAAGCAAAACAAAGCAAAAGCAAATAATCTTACTTTAATTCATCATAGTGCATCTCAATTTTTGTTCGATCTGCACCTGTTAATAACGGATTTTCACTAAGACTAAAACAAAACAATCTGAGGATTATACTGTATGACAAACATCCTTCCTGTCAACAACTTAAATCTCAAATCAACTTGGCACTGAACTCTATTCTAGACAGGTTGCACTGCATTTTTATTCCCAGCATAATCGACGTGTTGGAACAGCGAGCTTGCAAAACGTGAGCAAGTTTGAACACTTTACAGCCTCAGCTGGTTTTAAATCTGGGCTTTAGTTCAGAAAAATGAAAACAAACCACAAAAATGTATACAACAAATGATAATTCTGTTGCCTTTTTATTTATTTTTAATTAGACACTAGACATTATGTTTAACAGTATATAATTTAAAACCTCTGTATGGACGTTCATAATAATTTAAGGTAACTGGATGATAATACTGGACATTTATAATGAAGATTATCAATTAAAAAAAAAGAAAACATAAACATTACCACAAAAACACATTGTTAATATGAAGGCCCGGCATCCCTATGATGAAAATCATACCGCCTGACACATTTCATGGCAGTTTCAGAAAAAGATCATCTTACAATGAAAACAAATGGAGTAAAAGCAAAAATAGCAAAATTTTGAACATGATGTATATTTGAAGCATATTTTGAGGATGACTCTCAGCTACTACCACAGTGTCTTAAACATTTTTTATGAGTTGGCTAAGGTCAATTAACTGTTCAACCTTGAATTGTACTGACTCCAAAACTTACATGATCGTAGGTGTTCATCCATTGATTACTTTGAGTGTTTCTCTAAAACATGCTCAGTGGTTCACAAGATGTTTTGCTAACGAACAAACATGGCTGACTTCAACAGTTAATGCTAAAATCTTAAACAGAGATCTTCATATAATGTGTAGCACTCAGAAGCAAGTGTTGCAAATAACTTTTAGCCACATGCACACCTAAGTTTTGCACATTATCTGCAAAATTTAATGCGTTAAGAGCCATTTTTGTGTTTTTGAAGGTCAGTTGTCTGTGGTGACCATCTTGATTAGAGTTGGCTCCAAACAATTAGTTGTAGAGGTATCCACCTTATTCCTGGGGCTCTACTGTATAAATGATTATGGACACAACTTCCTGTCAGACACAGGAAGTAGCAGTAAGCATTGGCTAACCATGGTAGCGGAGCACGGACCGCGGTTTATTTTAAAGTAATTTGATATCAGTTTAGCAGATAAAGCAATGATTTTATTTTCTTCACATTTATTCAACAACCGTAAAAGTTTATTAAAATAGGTTTGCTGAGTTCAAATACCTGTTGTGTTGTTCGGTGCTGCACGAACAACCAAACCAAACTAAATCAGCGGCTACAACAGTGTTTTGAACATAGACACCCCAAAAAAGCGTTTCTGTGAAAATCAGTATAGTTTCCATCACCTTCCTACAGATGAGGAATTAAGAAGAACATGGGTGAAAAATCTGAACTTGAAGAGACCTCCCAAAACACTGTATGTGAGCTCATTTCACTTTGTTGACTAACGGCCGACGGAGGAAAACCTGCATCCTACTTTGTGTCTGGACTACAATAAACCACAGGAGAAGAGACACCAGATCCTCAGAAGGATTGAAAACAGTGTGACGAGAACATCAGGTATGATTTCAAGTGTATGAAGGGCACAGCATTATAGTATTTGTTCATCTTTGGTATTAAGATTTTCTCTGCAATTAACCCAAGCTCGGTGATGGAGGACTTCAAGACTTTGGCTGGGCTCTATGTCTGATTTAAGGTACCAGTAAATAAGACTGTTTCCCACCTCTTTTAACAAAACGCGACCGACTTTATTACTGTGTAGATACCGAAACGTCTCGGAGCTTTTCAGGTTGTTCATCGCTTCACCGTCAGAAGAACTGAGTCAATGAAATAGCTAAATATGCTGGTATATGTAATCTGCAGCCACTTTTTAGTAGGCTGCGGTAAGATTATATTGTCCTGTTTGAGCTCTGACAGATGGTGTTCCTACATTAAATCCACAATGCTTGGACAAACTACATTATCTCGTACTGTTCGCACATAAACAAACTTCAATTTCAGTCTGCGCCAGAAGTTGCGCCCATAATTCACGCAGGGCAGCATGGGGGCTAGGAATAAGGTGGATATCCAATGATTCTTTTCTGAAAGGCTCATTAAAATTGGTCCAGCATGTTTGATACTTACTCTCCATCATGCAATGGGCAATTTATTAAGCATCATTTCCTCACACTTTATCACATCCCAATACCTTTACTTCTTATATCTCGTTGACCGTTTAGGCTTTATTTACTCTTAAAACTGATTCACAGAAAAGCAGAGGAAACAGCAAAGCAGAGAAGCAAGGACACGAGATCTGCACAGCCTAGATTTTGGTTTCCACAGCCAACTTCCTGCATACCTTCCTGTGAGTAAAATCTGAGCTATGTGGAGTGTTATTGACTCTGGTGGAGGTTTGGCAAGAAAAACAGCTGCAATGCAGTCAAATAAAAGCAAAGCACACACATTGTCCATTCTTACACCAATTCACTTCTTCTACTGACCAACTTGTATCTCTTTTCAAGCCACAACCAACAGTTTCCAAATCACTTTTTCTACTTCACACAAACAAACCACCAAAAGCCAACAGGGATTTGAGTGAATCTGTGACAGGAAGAAGGGGCAGAAACCAAATGTCTTTTCCTGCTTAGATCAGCAGGGGTAGGAAGGGGGGTGGAAGAGACTCGAGAAGAAAAATCTTTTTAACCATCTCCTCCCATGACTCAGATGGTTTTAATTAAAAACACACTAAATTATAGCAGCTGTTATTTCCATAGAGTGAAGTCATTTCTTCAAGGCAGTAATGCAGGTTTTCTCATTGATCTGACTAATTTAGCATCACAGACAGCTGGAAACAAGTCCATTTGAACTAGTACTGACATCCAAACTGCGGGTTTTACTGCTTTAGAAGTAAAAAAACAAAGGATTTTCATGGAGTCTGATGTTTCAGCTGTTCAGTGTTGCCCTGCTTTTCGTTGCTTTCTTTCACACTCCAATTATTCGGACTCATTCTTTAGCAAACACAGCTACTGTTTTAAACCACAAGAAGTGTACACACTGAAAATAAATTTGCGTATCAGTAAAGTCACGTAAGCGGTTACGCTAGTTCATCTGACGTGAACATTTTTTCTTATAGTCTACATTAAATGTTAGAGACGATACAGAGTCAAGAAAAGTGATGTATTTTCACAAACACATACAAGTTGTCAACACTGCAGCAGCTACCGTTACATAAACGAAGCTCGTTAGCTCAGTGTGCTAATTGAAGCTAGCTGCTAACGGTGAATGTTGGGAGAAAAAAAAAGTTTTGCAAACCTGACTGGCTTTGTAAAATTGCTTCTTCAAACCCGCTACAGACATCTTGAACCCTCGGAGCTGTCCTCTGCTTCCAGCTAATATGTAAACAGGTTACGATATGTTCAAAAAGTTAAAGATTCAGTTTGTCCAAAAAAAAAATGGGCCAGTGCAAAAAAACATTTAAAAAAATGCCTCGGAGAAATCATACGTCCGCACAGCCGCCACTCCAAGTCGGAACACGCTATAACTGACCACGTTGAGAGTACTATTATTATTATTTTTTTTTTACAAATATCACAACCAAAGAGGAAAATGGTCCAAACGAACCAGAATTAACAACGACTGTGACTTGGACTCAAAATGCAACCATACACGTTGTTATAAATCTGCACCGATCACTTGGTGAAAAAAATCCGAGTTTTCATGAAGGCGACACAAGCTGGTGCACATTGCCCCCTTCTGGAAATAATGGGTCATTGCAGCCATTCTGCTGCTGAGACTGTGTTACGTTCGTAGTCAATCATCTTTCTCATATTTCATTTATAAGAACGTCAATAGTCTTCACAACGCATCGGGGGAAAAGTCAATAAAATGCCATCATAAACTTGGTTTTGCAACATTTTCAACTACTTAAACTTTAAAATGTTACTTTAAAACAACTGTCATTGTCATTACCTCAAATCTAAAGTGAATTTATCGTGTTTTAAATTTGCCATTTATATTGTTAAAAAATACCAAAAGAGACAATCGTGTCTCATACAACAAATTGCAATAATTTTAACTTATCCATATTAAAAAGGCACATATGGCAGACGTGGAGGTTTCAATGAACTATTAACAACCAGACACTGTATTTTCGTTTCTTTTTCGGAGGTACAGTGAACGCCACATTTTATGAGCCAGCAGATGTTTTTCTCTGTCCAAAACCAGAGCCTTGATAAAAACACATGCCATTTGACTATTTATTTCTCTTTAGTGGCGAAAATGGGCTTCCACAGAGATATGCACTTTGCTTTACTTTGACAATAATGCACCAAACTAATTTATTTTAAAACACAAAGTTATAATAAATAATAAAATACAAGTTCAAAATATTTTTTTTACCCGTTTTTATTAACTTAGAGTAAATCTTTAATATTTATCTTTCTGGCATCACTGATCTAAAACATACAAAATAACAATTATAATAAAAGTCATATTTTGACTATGGTTTTATGAAGTGTAATAGATGTTTCATAAATACTGCTTATGCTAGATTAATGTGATTATGCTTGTAGTTCTTCTAAAGCTTCGTTGCATAGAATGCATGCATTTTAATTAACACTTTAGAAGTTGGAATATTTTAAGCGCAAAAAAAAAAAATGCCTGCACAGTTTTCTCCTGAGCATTAGGTGGAGATATCAGACCAGTTTTAAGGCCTTCCATTTGTTGCAGGTTTGTAACTGATGACTAAAAATTAACGCATTCAATTCATGATTTATGGTGCTCTTGAACAGTGTTGCAAGCCCAAACTTTACCCTTTCTCCTCTTTGTCTTGACTTTACGCACTGATTAAATACAATGCAACTTTCTATTCTGCATGTTAGGGATTCATGCACGAGAACTTTAAGTCTATGAGGAATTTCAACAACTGAAACACAACAAAAGTTGAATGAATAAAGGTTTCCAGTTGCATTTCATGCCATAGACTTAAAATAAATCCTCTCAAGCCGAGAATGAAAGAAGTTGTAGCTGTTTTGGTCAAACCATGTTAAAGACATGAATAATCTCGTTGGATACTGTGAGAACCTGATACTGCAGGATGTGCTCAGAATGACTCTCAGCGACTACAATGCCAGATTTAGTTCAATGTCTAAAAGTGACTGAGTTAAAGCCATTTTTGTTTTGGCTACTGTTCATTAGCTGTGGTGGCCGTCTTGAATTGGGTTGACTCCAAACTGTAATTGGTTGTTCCTGTATATCTACTGATTACTTTCTGAGAAATTAATAAAAATCCATCCAGAGGTTTATGGGAAGTTATTGCTTCTCATCTTTACTAGTGGCTGACAAAATGTTTTGAATACTTTTGTTAGCACAGTAAAAATGAGAAATATGTAGCTGTAACTTCATACTTATGTACTTTTTATACTTTTTATATTTATACTGCTATACTTAAAATTTAGGATAGTATCATACTTTTATTATTTCATTTCTTGCTAATGTATATGTTTAATGGTTATTGTTGCACCAGCAGTCTGAGAGTAATGGCATTTCAATCCTGTACTGTACATATTGCAGTTTTGATAATAAAGTTGACTTTGAGTTGCCTTCAGAGTTTTGTATTGTTTGAATCATTCAAGTGCTACAAATTATTTATTTTTGGTATGAAAATTACAAAGTAAATAAGAAAAAGAGAAACGAAGAGAAGGTAAAGCCACAATAATTTTTAATTTTACTTGTAAAAAGACATTTTTTTTAAATTACATTCTTTATTCCACATACAGTATCACCATTGTGCAATAACACTTCACTGTGTTAAAACCTCTCGGGCTTCACAACCATGACATGAATTATTTTATATTAAACTCTATCTGGATTCAATGACGTCAACTTACAATAACATGAAAAGATCATATACAGAAGGACCATGACAAAAGACAAAGATTTTGGGAGACATCCTTTAAAAATGCTCTTTAAAAAAATAGAATTACATCTCTCTGAGACAAGAAGGACACTAAACGGATGAGGGTGGGGTGGGAAAGACAGTACAACAGGAAAACAATATAAAAATTAAGCAACAAAAGATCACAACAAAACCAAGAAATAATTCAGAGATTAGATTCGATCATTTATGTCTTTTATCCTATTTAATCTACGACTTAAACAAAAAAAAAAAAGCAATAATAATATGAAACAAGGTAAAATCTTTGATACTTCTGTAATCAAACATTCACAAAAACATGGACTGTACACAGTGATCAAGGTTTAAAGGTCTTTACGTTGGTGCGAGGTGTAGCTTGACTAACTGCAGACGCTGTAGGACCGAGAGCCCAGCTATCTCCCTGAGTGACTAAAGGAAAATAAAACGCAGAGCACAAATCCTGCCCAACAGACAGCTTTGAAGACTAAAAAAATATTCAGAAATCCTTAGAAAACTAGCATAACTAACATTCTCAGGCTCCAAAAACAAAACAAAGCATTGCACTTTGTTACAACACGTCTCGAGTGAATCTGATCTGCAGACACGTTAATTAAGTGTTTGAATATTATTAATGCTGGAGTGCTGGTGGAAACATGAATACATCGCAACTAAGGCCCAACGTACTGAAAACAATGGGAAAGACATTATTGCACAATCCCACAACGCCTTTATCTGTAAGTACCATGACCAGGGTAATAGTCCCTTCATTATTGAGTGAGTTGCACAGTTTATAGTGAACGGCACTGTCCCAGCAGCGCAACACAAACCTGGCTTAAACATTTACTTAGATTGACATCCAGCATCATGTGATTGTCTCAAAATGTTTAGGATAAAAGTAACAGTTTATTTCTTTTCCTCTCCCTTGGCCTCGTCGTGTAGCTGAAGGAGACGTTTGGTTTTGCTGATCTCTAACACATCCGCCTCCCTGGAATAAAAAGCTGTCGTACGGACACACCCGAAGACATCTCCAGAGATGTACTGAACTGTAAGAGTCCAGGCCTTCCTGGACCTAAAGGCATAAAGTGCTCTGAAAACAGAACAGTAGCACTTTGTTTCTGTTTTCTTTCCAGTTTCATGACAGTATGATCTAAAATGATTGCCTGTAGATGCCACTGACTATCAAACGTTTTTGACGAGGCTCTCTGGTGAGTTCTGAGGTGTTTACTCAGGGGGGTAGCTGATGGCTCTGTCAAGCTTTACCATCTAGTGTTTGGAGAGGGTGAGGTAGTGCGGGCGGAGAAAGAAATCGAGGCTGTCGTTCATCAATCAGAACACATAATCAACCCAAGCCTCGAGCAGCCAGAGCTGATGACATCGCCTCGTGTAGCCGAGGGAGCCTGGACAACACCAGCATCCACCGTTTCTTCTCAGATTTAACGTCCCTTCGTTCAAACCTGAACAGTCTTTTATAGCAGGTGCGTGTTCAGTTCAGGCAGGAGCTTCACGTCAACGAAACGTTTGTGCAAAGAGGCACCTTCATCAGAGCTCTTCTGCAGAGGGAGGGTTTCATAGAAGTTTCACATCTGGCAGTTCGACTGCAAACCCGTGAAAAAAAGAATAATCCTTCACCGAGGAGGGTTATCTGACTTGTAAGTGCTAATTAAACATGTTTCTCTGTTGTTTCCGCTACATTCTTTTTAAATCCCAGAACTCTGT